CATTGGGGCGCACAATTTTCCCTCGTCGGAGCGCCGAATAGATTCAGGCGGACTACAAATTTTCAAATGAAATTCAGGCTAACGTCAACATTTTTAGAACTCGAAGTGGATTTGTAATCTACGAGACTGCTGCTTTCAGAAACTACCTTTTTGTGCAGTATCTTCAAAACTGTTTAGTTATGGGATAGAGAAACAAAATTCACAGAAATGCGCACTTCTTCTTTGAAAGGTTGTAATTTTCTTCAAACGAATGAAAATGTGAGAAGTGATATAGAAATTCTTGAAGTTCAGATTGTTTTCTTTCTAAAAAGTCTTGAACTTTTGCAAAGTTTTTCTTCAAAAAATCGCCCCGTTGGACCGTTTTTTTCAGAACCGGGTTTTTTGGCTTTCAATGACTATAACTTTCTTCAGAATGAACCTTTTGCAATTATTGTCCCCCTGGGATAAACTAGAAGGTTAGAGCTTTCTAACGAATACTTGAACTCTTTTCAAAATTGATGGAGTCAAAAAATCGCCCCGTTGGACCGTTTTGGGGAAATCGCGGACCGATTTTTTGCAGAGCGCTGGTTTTTGGCTTTGAAATTTTATAAGGTCCCAAAGAAGGTGAAGGACCTAAGTGAAGTCACGGCCACAGCAGAGATGCCCTAGACAGAGCGAAGTGGCGACGACTGACAAAGACAGCGGACCCTGCGACTGCGCGGGACTAACGCTAGGGAGAAGAAGAAGAAATGTTATAACTTTCTTCAGATTTAACTTTTTGCAAATGTTGTCCCCTGGAGGAAATTAGAAGATTAGTGCTTTCGAATGAATACTTGATCTTGTTTTCAAAATGACCCGTTCGAACCGTTGGACCGTTTTTTTTATGAATTTTCGGAGCTACTCTCCTGAAAACACGAGTTTTCAACACTCAAACACTCACAGCTCTCTTCAAACTCAATTTTATGGGAATAATGATACCGTGACATCGCACAAGCTTTGTGCTTCATGAAAGATACTGAACCCTTTTCTAGGAAGTTGTAACACTTAAATTTTTTTCCAAACGTTTCTTGTAAGCCATCAGTAGTCAATCTACCCTACTGGTCACTTTTTTTACTAAGTTAAGTCTAGTTTAAGACATTGGTTATCCTCGAGAGCATATTTGTGTACGTGAACAGTCAAATATGGACACTTCCGCAGTAGACTCTTCTGCTCTGAGGTGCGCCATGCACTCGTTCGTGGTTGATAGTTGGAGAAGCCCTCGACATTTATACCCCTCACTTTCTATCGCGAAGCAAACGTTTCAATTCTGATAATGGTCTAAGTCTGTAATGCGAGCATCATGGCATCGTAGAAACATTTCGCCATTTTCCTTGAGGCTTCAGTGGTGCTCTCTCCATCGCATCTATGTGATAGATAGGGGTTTCGTGATTTATAGCTTCCGTGACAAGCCACTCAAGCACTTTTTATTGTCTTTACCCAAGATTGATGAAGTGCAGCGAGAACG